GTGGGTAAATCGTCACGTACGCTGACGGTTTATGGTTTGGTTGCTATGGTTTTTGTGACGTTCAGCGTGTAGGGACGCACGTGCGCCTAGAATGTCGATGCCAGAGTTATAACTTTTGATGTCCCGAGATGTGCGTCCTTTTGTTGAATTACCTTGCTCTCTCCAAAATCAAGAAGTACTCCGCATGGGCGACGATCATTCGTTTAACCAAGGACTTTTAACTGTTACCAGGATAGGAAGCTGGCTGGTTTAAGCCGTCTAACTTGAATTAGCCTTATGTGCGGTATTTTTATGAAAATGAGCCAGATAAATACAATCTGCACATGCTCAGAAAAACAAAACTATCCTTAGCCACACCATGGCCACACTGCGTATTGGCTAGGCGTACTGCTAGGCCTTGCCGAGAATTACGGTACGGTAAAACAAAGCAAAATAATGGTACTAATTTCACTTGGAATGCAAATCAATCATACTTACATACTTAAAAGCAAACTAGTCTACTAATAAAATCACCTGTTAAGTTAAGATATAAGGCAAGTATGTCTACAAAATTATTTTAAATTGATGTGATTAGGCTAGCCTAGACCCGGCCTAGACCATGTCTAACCGCTAATAAAAATACAGAAAAAAGACCCAAAACAAAACAAATTAGAATGAAGTTATCAACTAACTATTGCATTAAAATTATTCATATACTTACTACTTACCTATATAAAATTAAAATGTATTACTCATTAAAATGTATTGCTCACAAACACCAATATTTGGATTTTAATACGCCTTTTCCACGAATCGGTAGACATCTTGAAGTGATAACAAACAGCCTAAGTCTGTGGTGCGTAACAAACAAAAATAAGATAAGCTAGGACTAACGGCTGTACGCCTAGCCGATACGCAGTGTGGCTAAGTGAAGTTTTGTTTTTCTGAGCATGTGCAGATTGTGCCTATCTGGCTCATTTGCATAACAATACTGCATAATCACATAAGGCTAATTCAAGTTAGGCGGCTTAAACCAGCCAGCTTTCAATCCTGGTAACAGTTAAAAGTCCTTAAGACGTGATTCAAACAGATAAATTACGAACGCATAAGATGGGTATGATTTAACCAAATAAAACAACAAACACATTAGACGGACATGAACGAATTTATGAACGATATGACGGAGAAGATTTTAAAAAAAAATAACGAAAACATAAGACGGACATGAAAAAATAAATAAAGAAACGAACGTATAAGACAAACATGATTCAAACAATAAAACAAAGCCAACATAAGACTGATATTTCTCAAACAAATAACAAACGTATCGGACGGACATAGACACATGATACTGTGTAGACGAATGAATAATTTTGTAATGAACAAAATATTTATAAACAAAAACAAACAAATATGAAACCAATGGACGGTTTTACAAATGAGCATGTACCAGTACGCATGTAAATTGTGCAAGTTGGGATGATATATCGATTCTGTCTTTATTCATAAATGAGGGATACTAATTGAAAGTATCCCTTCTTAATTTTTTTTCTTTCGTTTTCTATGGGGGGAGGGGTGGCGAATCTTTATTTTTTTTTCTTATTTTTTTGCACCTTCTTCAGTACAATTCTGTACTGTACACATCACACGGGGAAAAAATCCGTCATCGACTTCTGTCTTAAATTGTTGAACCTCTGTTTGGCAGCTTCATCTCGCCATTTCCTCACTTGCATTAGGTGAATATAATCCACATCTCCTTATCTTTCAGCCACATCAGCAGGTTGTCAGCAGCGTTAAAATCTGTTGATGCGTTGACTCTTGGGAGGTGACTAACTTCTTCTTCTTCATCAGATGACTCGTGCTCCTGCCATGTTTCCACACCACTGATGATTTGATCATCCGTTAGCCACTGAAACCCTAGATCGTCTGCGTCTTCAGCCAGCCATTGAACAGGTCCCATCTACTCGCTATCATCGGGTTTTTTATCCGAGTTCTTCAAACATTACATCGAATTCAGCCGAGTCATCTTCATCATGATAGTTTCTTTGATGAGGAACGGAGTCGTTGTTCGGTTCTTCTCCCAGAAGTTGTCGCCAGCTACGACTTAGGTTTTCTTCCATTGCATCTTCCCATGCTTGGGAAATCCAACCAACGCAATCATTGACTGTCAGCTGCCTGATGACATTTGGAATGTCGTCATCGTTCGCCAGGATATGTCGTAGGAGATGCTTTTTGTAGCGTCGTTTAAGGGGTTCAAAGATCCCATGGTCCATAGGCTGAATCATGCTAGTGGTGTTTGGCGGAAGATACTCAACCCAGATGTTCCCATCCTCAGAAACGAGTTCTTCTTTTGGGGGGGTGTGACGGAGCTTTATCCAAAAAAAAGTAGAATTTTGTATGGAATGTCATGTTCATGGCACCACCGCCGGACAGTTGGAACAACGTAACTGTGGAACCAATTTTTTGAAAACGGTAGCATCTGTAAGTTAATGACCAGCCTGAAGCACTTCGTAGATTACTAGCATTGTTTATTGCGGTACTGACCGACATACATGTATGAGATGGGTAACGCACCGAGAGGGCGTGGTTCAAATTAATACAATGTTCTACATCTTCCTTATTTTATTTTGTTTTTAAACATAATCAATTTATAGTAAATTTAAATTCTTTTCATCCTTTTGTTTCTTTTTTTTACAACATGAGAACAATAAAATGTTTTAAGTCAAAAGTGTGATTGTGTTATTCATTCAATTGTGATCATTTGAAACATATTAATTAGCATCTTAAATTTTTGTTCGATGTTTGAGACGAGACGATTTTATTGTGGAAGGCACACTACAAATATCCCACCATTACCATTACTATTACCATTTTAATTTCCATTTTACTTATAAATTCCAATCCAATAACAATGGACTATAATCAATGTATAATTAATGTTCATTCAATGTTCAGCAATCATATCAATGTTCAATCAATGTTCAATAATCAATGTATAAGCAATCTTCATTCAGTGTTCAATAATCGACTTTCAGCAATCAAATCAATGTTCAATAATCAACGTTCAGTAATCCAATCAATGTTCAATCAACGCTTGCATTTGTTTTTAGTTACTGCGCAAACATAAAGCTATTGTATTTGGGATTTTGTTTGACAGTTCGTCCACTTCGGGTTCTCTTGGCTGAATCTGTGTTGGATTTTGTGGTATCATGTTCAGGACTACTCGTGATATGCACAAAGTTCCATTCTGATGCGAACTGTTTGAATTGGTGACCTGAATACTGACCTCTATTGTCACTTATGAGAATCTGCAGTGTACCATGGGTAGCAAAGTGACGCTTCAGTTTTACTATTACCGTGGCTGATGTTAAGTCAGTTAAAGTATTCATTTCAAACCATCCGGGATAGGAATCTACGAGTACCAGGTAATGCTTATTGTTCCACTCAAATATATCTGTGGCAACAATCGTCCATGGTAGATCTGGAATGTTATGTAAAAGTAAGGGCTCCTTGGCTTGATGTGCCTTTAGGGCATTACATACCTGGCAGGATGACACAAACTTGCTTATGTCATCGCACATTGATCTCCAATAGACAATTTCTCGTGCTCTGCGTTTTGTAGCTTCTATTCCAGGATGTCCTTTGTGTAGTATTTGTGTAGATGACTGGACAGAGCTAGGAATTATGCTTTTATGTCCTTTCATAACTATTCCATTGTCTACTGAGAGTTGATCTCTGAAAGTAAAATAACTTCGTATTTCTGAAGGGCACGACTTTGGAGTTTTTGGCTATCCCTTAAGTTTTGTGTTAATTAACATCTGTAGAGTGCGATCCTCTTTCGTTGCACTTCGCAGCTCTTCCTGTTTAGCATCAGAGATGTGCTATACTTCCATGACTTCATACAGATATCCATCATCACCAGTATCTGTAGTAGGTGCTCGTGATAAGGTGTCTGCCAAATATAGCTCAGCACCTTTCTTGTATACCAACTTTGTAACTGCATTAGTAATTTCTGCAGACGAGCTGGCGCTTTGTGAAGTGGCTTCTTCACAATGAGTATCAGTGGTTGATGGTCTGTTTGTATGGTTATTTGTTTCTCATATGTACTGATGGAATTTCTTTGTTGCAAACACTATGCTTAACAGCTCTTTTTTTTATTTGTGCATAGCGCTGTTCGGTTTCTGTCATTGTTTGTGAGGCAAATGCTATTGGTTTACCATTTTGGAGGCATGCACAGCCTAAACCATACTGGGATGCATCGCATGTAAGGGTTAAGTGTTCGGTCACATCGTAATATGCAAGGACTGGTGGGCTTGTTATCATACTTTTAAGCTTCTCAAAAGATTCATGCTGATGTGGTTGCCAACACCATTGCGTGTCTTTGTGTAACAACTGCCTTAAGGGTGCTGCTATTTCACTAAAGTTCTCTATGAATTTCGAAAGATAGTTTGCCATACCAAGAAAACGGCTTAAAGCTTGTGTATCCTTTGGAGCTGGCATCTCGCATATAGCCTTTATCTTCTCAGGATGAGGTTTTATACCATTGTCGGTTAGAAGGTGTCCAACATAGGAAACCTGACTCTGTCGAAACTTGCATTTGTTCTTATTCAAGCGGAGTCCAACCTTCTGAATTCTCTGTAGCACATCCTTTAAATTCTTGTCACGTTCGTCTAGATCTTTATCAGTGAATAGCAGGACATCTACAATTATCTCACAAGGATATCCTTCAAAGAGTATTTCTATTGTGCGTTGAAATACTTCTGATCCATATGGCATTCTAAGATGCCTGTATCGGCCAAGGGGAGTGTTGAACGTAGTCAACTTTGAAGATTCTTCATCTAATGGTACCTGCCAAAAAGAATTTTTAGCATCTAAGACCTTAAATACTACGGCATTGGCTAAATTTCTAGTTATTTCCTCAACATTTTTCATTGGGTGATGGGGTCTCTTCAGACCACCATTTAAATCTCTTGGATATATGCACAATCTAATTTCTTCAGTGTTCTTTTTTTTTTGTTGCAACCATTGATGACACCCATGTTATTGCCTCTTCTACAGGAGTGATGACGCCGAAGGGTCTACAGACATCTTATATTTCATTGCTAACTTGCCCAAATCGTCACCAAAAACATCCGAAAACTCTGTTAGTTCTGGAATATCTTGTGTTACGACATGCACCATGTTATCATTAACGTTTAGCAACTCAAGTTTTAGAGAATCTGCTTATCCAATTATGGGAGTGTAATCACCATCAACAACATATAATTTTAGTTGGTGTTGTTTTCCAGCTGAATCTATCTTTAATCTTGCCATTCCCAAAGTAGTTATGGTATTACCACTATATGCTACCAGATTTGGCTTTTCTGATTGGTCTATGTCATCAGCAGCTTTAATATTTTGCAGAGTATTTAGTGGACGGTATTACATTACACTTGGCTCCAGTGTCTGTCTTTAATGTGAGAGGGTGATTGTTGACCATTACAGTTGTTTTTATTACATTTTTACTGTCAACTGTATCAATGTTTATGCCTTCTACAACAAAGAATTCTTCATTTTGTGCTTCTTCTTCTGTTGCGATATCATACATTGTCTGCTTATTGGACTTTTTTTGTATCTTTGTTTACCTTGGGGTTTCTTGTAAGTATGCTTGTGTTGTGCACTAGTACCCCTAGGTTTCCTACACTGTGTTCCAAAATGTCCTAAAATCCCACATCTGCTGCACTCTTTGTTATATGCAGGACAATTATATCGTGGATGAGATGTCCCACACCTTCCACAAACTTTACTGTGCTGCGATTTGGTTTTTTCAAACGTTAGTACGTCGATTGTCTGTGACAATTGTTTGTTTGCATTTTCTGTAGTTTCATGAACCAGGCATATCTGAATGG